CTACTACTGCTACTACTACTACAGCTACTGCTACTGCTACTGCTACTACTGCTACTACTACTACTACTACTACTACTACCACAACTGCTACTACTTGTTCCTGTCGTTGCGCCACCCCCACTTGGCAAAGTTCCGGGGAAATTGGGAGCCAGGAGACAGGAGGATTCGGATGAAGATCCTCGGGCCCGGAGCCCTCGGACTCTGCATCGTCGCTGTAGTGACCCGAAAGCCTTAAGGTCTGGATCGCCGTGGTGGAATGGAACTGGGATTCTTCTGGGGTCAAAGCGCAGCAGTACTTAGCGATTTGGCGCCCAAGTGTCAAGTTTCTGAGCCCGCTTGCCTTTTGCACTTGGTGGTCTGTAAGGCTTACCTCGCACAGAGGATACATGTGCTCTGGGGCCCCGGCTTCAGGGTTGGGTCCCTCCCCTTGACGCTCTTGCAGGCCTTCAGAAGTCCCTCCTGGGAGAGAGGGCATAGGGCTCGGGGGTTGGAGGTTCGGGTTTCAAATCACGCAGAGGGCTTCGGGCACTAGGGGGTTGGGAGTTTCGGAAAGAAGGGGCCCTGAAGTTGATGCCAAGTAGGATCCGGGTTTAGGGTTTACGGTTTCGGGTTTAGGGTTTAGGGTTCGGTCCTAAAGGCCCCCGGTTTTCTGAAACACCCCAGCTGGGTTCTAGGAGTCGCTGAATCCAAGCGTCGGGCTTTGGAAGGAAGTCTGTTGGCTGCACGGACCAGGCCAAGATGAGGTTCGCCACACAGTAAGACAAGAAGAACCAGTAGCCGTTTGTGAAGTACCCACCATAGCCTGGGTTCTTGTTAAGGGATTTAATTTAAGTTACCATAATAGGGATCTATAGTAAATAATATGATTTCCTTATTATGGTAACTTAAATTAAATCCCTTAACAAGAACCCAGTAGCGGATGTTGTCAGGATGCTGGTGCTCGATGGGAAGGCTCGCGATGCCAACGACCAGCATCATTATGGACGGCTGGGTGAAGCGCATGGGCGCCAGCGTCATAACGTATGTCCTTGATCATGCATAGGGGTTCTGTGCAGGTTTCCTTGGGCGTGGTGCGTTCAATCTGTAATGACAGAATCTGACAATCGCAGGGTTTGAGATTGCTAGGTGGTCTCACAGACAGGCGGACAGATGAACATGCAGTAAGAAAGAGAAGAAGAGAGGACCAGAAAGATCGACAAACAAGCATCGGCCGATCAGACACTTGAGAGAAACAATTGGACATATAACGACAATGTCGATAGGCAGACAGACAAGCATCGAGGTACACCGTCACATATGCTGAACAGGCATCTTTGCAATGTAGCTACATTGGCAGCTTGCGCGAGCACAGATCGAAGGTTGTGCGGATGCAGCATGACAGAGAAGGAGAGAGACAGAGAGAGCGAGAGAGCGAGAGAGAGAGAGAGAGGGAGAGAGAGCGAGAGAGAGAAAGAGAGAGACCGGCCTTACATGATAAGATCTCGACATGAGTTAGCATGGTGCTGAATGCTTCGTACTGCTAATGGTAGATGCTGGTACAGGTCTTGGCTTGAAGGCCGATGTCGGGCAGGCTACAGATAAAGCTGCGGACAGTTACACCGGAGAAGACAGTGTCGCATCAGGAAGTGGAGGTTCAGGCAGAAACCAATGAACACAGAGGTACAAAGGTTCATACTAGGGCAGCCAGGCAGCCAAGCAAGCATTGCATGCTTAGTTGGAAAAGCCATTTCAAAAAGCCACCACGCCACTCAACTGAAAGATCTAAACTCTAATTTAGGAAGGGTTCCAGCTCTTTCGGGATTCGCCCCTGAACAAAACCGGATGTAAAGCCGCCGCAGGGCTGCATCGATTGGCGCAAGTCCCCCGGGATGAATGCCGGGTTTAGGAGGATCAGGAAGATCCTGAAAGCAGAAACTGCAGTCTTTGCGGGCTTGTGGTGGTTCGGCTCTTTGACCTGTGGGATCGCTTTAGGCTTCGGTGGGATGCATGTTTCAGCACTCACTCTCGGACGAGCCTAGACGAGGCATGGGATGCATGTGTAAGTTCCGGCAGAGCTTTTTGTCCCGGCTCGCTTTATCCCAGCGGAAGCAAAGAAATGAAGACTGATTTGGCTTAGCTCGTGGGCTTCATTCCGTGCAAGGCCGCTTTCCGCTTTGAGCCGAGGATTGAATAGATCAGCCCAGAGTCATCAAGAACTGCAGCGGGGGCAGCAACATGGCATTGTACGCAGCCACCTTAGTGGGATTCCAAGGGGAGCGGAGCTGTCGGGCGGACAGGCTCAAAGTCCGAGTACCTTGACGTTCAAGCTCTGAGGTTTGTGTGCCAGGACTTCCCGGCAATGGACGTCGGTTCGGGTCCCTTTAGCCTGCGAGTCCCGGGAACAATCCACCCACTCGGGGAACTCAAAGCCTTCAGATAGATACTCTGATTCTTACTGCACGGGCTACTATCATGGGAGCCTTACAGGTACTGTCAAGGTTACGATCCAACAAAACAAGCGCAAGGCGAGCCGCAAACGCTGAGCATGGAAGTTGACGCTGATACAGCCAGCGGATGACGTCAATGTAGGACTCCCCTCACAGGCAGGGTCCAGTGTCCCTGTGTCTGAATTTGTGAGAGCGCACTAGACCGGAATTGGGATGGAGGGCCCCAGGGATTAGAATCGGATTTGGGGGGCATCTTCTAGTATATTACAATAAGGAACCCTCAGGGGAAGTATTGCTTACGATTCACAATATATATATATATATATATATATATATAGTATTATATATATATATATAATGTTATAATATATATATATATATATACACATGTACAAACCCCTATGTTGCAACCCAACACCGCCAGACTCGGCTCGTCAGCTGCGGAATCTCGGCGTCTTCGTGCTTTCTAAGCGCTGTCTGCTGCTATTGCTGCTGCTTCTGGGTTTCTTGAGGAAGCTAGAAGAGGTTACCATAAACAGATCTGCAGCTCATTATATGTGGCTTTCCCACGGTGGTATCTTAAACTAAACTCGCGAGCCTAAGTTCCTGCTTACAACACCCGATGGGTTCTATCCTGGGACGAAGCCTTGCGAGACTCGGAAGCCGTCGGCATCGTCATGAACCCACGTGACATTCGGCAAGATGCACTCCTCGGCCGGGTTTCGACTTTAGCTTCTTCGCCTGGTACACAGGAGGCTGGCGGGCGGAAAGTCGAGCAAAGGAAAACATACCGAGAAACATTGTGATTACGAAGGCCCTATCATAAACGCGGTTTGGGGTATACTATATAATAATAATGATGGAGTGTCTTTGTTGGTGTGTGCATATAAAAGTATATAATATACATTTGTGTATAAGCAACCACACACATATGTATATAATATGTATGTAATTGTGTGTGGATACATACATGTATTATGTATATAGTTTAAACTATTACAGGCAAGCCTTGGCTCAGCACGGGTTCAAAACAGACAAACAGATAGATAGACACATGCATACATACATGTGTGCAGGTGCATGTTAGAACAATCCAACATGCATATAATAATTTTTATTAATAATAATAGTACTATTAACAATAATCATAACTGTTATTAGCCTTTTTGTGGCACTTCTTGGGTTGAGCAGCGTTCGGCTTCGGGGCTGATCCTGAACAGGACGGAGGCTTTGGGATGAAAGCTTCCAATGCCGAGCCAGGTCGCGGTGTAGATAAGTGGCACATGTACGCCAATAACTTGACAGAGAATGCAAAGCGGGAGGAGGATCCACTGCCACCAGTAGCTGCCGGCACCTGACTCGCTCATTTTGCGGACAGAAGTCTCGCCATCAGAGACATCAGGGAATTTACGTCTCGCAGTCGCACAGTTCGGTTTCAAGTTCGACCGATCTTGACACAGACAAAATCCACACTACTCGGCGCCCTGCTCCTTCAGTCAGGTCCGGCTGATCTCTAAGGCAAGCCTTTATCCAAAATACAAACCTCATTGGTCGTTCTCTTGAGCTCCAGTGTTGCACCATTTCGCCCGAAATCCAATAACTTCATCACCCGGGCCACAAGCTTGGCTGCCCTCGTCGTCCTGCCCAGCCGACATTTTGGAAGTGCAGAGAGCCACGTTTCTGCTTCCTCAATTTGCGGGGCCTTCGGGTTTCGTTCATGGTTAGCAATAAGGTGGGGTTATAAGTCCCCTAATATGGGTTATAAGTATAGTAACCCTACTTATAACCCCACTTATAGCTACCCACTAATGAAAGGCTTGCCTTGTCGTCGGCGGTGCCCAGGTCTTTCACCGCATTGTAGCTGTAGCCGCCCTCATGCCCCTCAGTTTTGCGCAAGCTGACGGAACATTGCTGGGAGAGGCCTCGGTATGGCCAAGACACTGTCTGATCTTCTTGGCTTTCAAGACTTCTCCACTCCTGCCAACCATGGCCAAGATAGACCCTCTCACTGCCGGCTTCTGGCGGCTTCATCTATCTACATGCCATCTCCCTGAAGTCCTTCCAGTTGCAGGTGTAGAGATAAAACTGCAGCGATGCAAACATCACCAGCATGCCAAACCTCCAGAAAGGCACGGGCAGTGGAAAGTTCCATCTTTTCACGTTTGGCAGGCAAGCGACGGATGTGGTCATAAGAAGACGAGTGTCTTATTGCGGCAGAGGCTCGTCGTGCAATAAAAACATGATAGGCCCCAGAGCAAGCCCCGCACTTCCCTCATGGCTGATGTGACATGCTGCCAAGGGCACATAAAGAGTTGGAGCCCAGGAAACTCATAGACCACGAGGATGCCATGCTGGTCCTTGGAGGCAACACTTGCCCTCTTGCTCCCTAGCGGTGTTCCGCCTCCAAGCGTCAACCCGAAACTCCAAACCGTTGGCCCTCAATACTCCCGATGGCATCGCTCATCTGTGGGTCTAACATGCAGGCACGACAACCTTTACAGCAGCATACAAACCTGGTCGACACTTCCAAACCCCTTTACGTAAAGTCTGTGCAACTTTGGTGTACAAGGAGTGCTTCATCGTTGCTTTCACGGCGATAGTTATGCGAACTGTAAACAACAACACCAATAACTTTAAATTCTGTCGCCTTCCTGGCTGCATGCCGCTGTATGCAAGACCCCAAGCCGTAAGTCATCCCAGATCCAGGTCTGTCCTCCGGGTCCCAGCGCAGGTCTCGGAAAACAGCATGGTTCTGCACCGCTCGCAGGGCCACGGCGAAGCCGTGGAAGAGGGCGCCGAAGGTGGCTAAGTTCATCTCTAGGCGCCAGAGCCTCGTAAAGGTTCGACTCCCAACTCGAACGATGCAGGCGAGGCTCGTAAAGGTTTATGGGTTTATTGAAGGACCCTCGAGCCGTTCTAAAACCTCTCTGGCGCTGGGTCCGCAGGCAAAGGCGAGTCTCCGACGGGGTTGGCGCAAATGAGAAGCGAGCATGGCCATTCTTGACGACCTGTGCCCATTTCGCGCTCTGTGCAGGCTGCGCTAGCCTGGTCTCTGGCACGGCTCTCTGCCATATTGTACGTTGCAGATATGCGCTTTCACGAAGAATTAGGCAAGTGCCGCCCAAGACCCTACCCCGCCACCGGACAAGGTCAACCCGGGAACTCAAAAACCTTCTACGAGAGCACCGTCTTCACCTTTTCTCTCGTCCTCGAGCTGGGCCGCACCCCGTTCCGGTCTCAAGTCCCGCTTGTACCCGCCTCGGCCGGTGTGACTCGCCAGTGGTTTCCGGGGCGGGTTGACGGGTGGGTACCCGGGGTGGCGAACTCGTGAACGCGGAACCAAGGCTCGCTGAGGGTTCCTTGGATGCTGATGCGTTCACGCGGATTCACCTTGCGAGCACTGCTTGGAGGTTCATGGGTAGTTATAAGTGTGGTTAAGTCCCCTAATATGGGTTATAATTATAGTTACCCTACTTATAACCCTACTTATAACTACCCATGCACCTCCAAGTGGGCATTATCGAACGGTCCCAGCGGAGGAAGCAGCGCAACTGCTCATCACGATAGACCCGAAGGTACTTCTTGGACACATGATGACACGTGCGAGTCCTTCGCCCGGAGAGTGCCCAAGCAAGGCCGGGGTTTGTTGTCTCTTAGAAGCTGCCCAGAGAGCCCAACACCCCTTAAATAAGGAATATACCTTAAATAATGGGGGCCTTAATATTATGATTTAAGGTATATTCCTTAATTAAGGGGTATTGGGCTCTCTGGGTGCTTATTGGGCTTTCTGGAGACCACTGACGCGTGGCCTGTCGACACTCGGACTGGGACATTCCGACCATGAGCGTGGATAGCAGGGCTCGTGTCGGCCCTCGGGCTACCCAACTCTACCCAAGCGACGCTCTATATCACTTTAGACTCCAGGCCATTGTGATAGCCTGAGCCTTGCACCGTCCTGGCTCCGGCACATTTTGTTGTCAGGTGAAGGCCAGCTTTGGGAGAATGGCCGAATTCTCACACCCGGATAGTCAAGACAGAGAGAGCAGCGTGAAACCTAACAGGAAACAAGAAGCTTTAAAAAGTACCGCCGGCCACCTGGCAACATGACATGTCGTCCTCGTCGGAGAAAGATTTCACGTAGCCCAAAGCTCTAAAGCCCGCCAAGAAGCCAGTTCCAGGCGCAGAGCACAGAGATTACCAGGAGGAGCACCCCGCTCACGACCCAAGTCATGTCGTTCGTCGCGGAGCCTTCAAATTCACAGCTTCGGAAAAAGCCTTCGCTGCGTGTTGTCAATGCTCCCTGAATTCCAAGTTTATCTGAGCCTTACTTCAAACCCCGAAATTAACCCCGGTCCGAAAACCCCATAAACCTGGCACTGCCCTTCAAATTTCGGGCATGTCTGGGCCTGTGGCAAAGAGAATGCAAGACATGGAGGTCGCCAGGCCATACCTGGAGCTTCAAGGAGTCTCTGCCCGGCTCAAACCCAAACGCATGCATTCATGATACTTGGAGGTTCATGCGTAGTTATAAGTGGGGTTATAAGTCCTAATATGGTTTATAACTATAGTTACCCTACTTATAACCCTACTTATAACTACCCATGAACCTCCAAGTAACCATAACAAACCACACACACACACACACACATGATGACCACCAGGCTAGCAGCCATTCACTTTACAAGTAATGATGGGTTTATCACGACTAGCACAGGAGCAGTAGAATCTTAGAAGCAGGCACAGCCAGAACAAAAAGACAGCGGCAAAGCCTGATTCTTCTTCTCACTGTCACAGACAGTCAATACATGGTAGTTCTCCAAAATACCGTCCCTTTTGGGGTTCTTTTTATAAGAGTGCCGTACTATGTTTAAGGGACCTAAAACGGGACCCTAATTCAGAAAACTACCCTTATAAAACCCTCACAGAAACCCTTATGGATCCCTTAAAGGAACCCTGAAAAGGACCCTAAAAGGGACCCCAATACATCCGCTGTCATCTTCGGGCCGAGGCTGCAAAATGGGCAAAGCCTTCCGCCGAAGCGGCGGTGCTTTCGCCTCACGAGACTCCTGTTCGGAGCCTTCGGCGAGGAAGTGACCAGCCTCCTGGGAGAAAAAATCTGGAAAGTCTGTTACAACAGATTAAAAAATTCGTGCTTGTCATTTACTGCGTTGTGTTACATTGCCCCTCTCTGTTGATCGCCTCTTTTCCTCCTCAGAGGATTTTGCAGGGATCTAGGGGTTGTTGTGTCACACCTCTTTTCCTTCCGCCTTATCCGGGGTTCCGATGCCACGCTGGCTGAGGCGGGTTTCGGGCGACGGAGAGAAGGGGGATTCACCACCAACGACCACCATTATCCCCAAAAACCAGCCTCAGGGGTTGTTTCTTGCCTCCTGCATGGCTGAACATGTCGCGAAGCCGGGTGATGTGTTTAGGATGTAGGGTTGAATTAGGCTGTCTTTGCCAGAGAGAAGGGTGAAGACCTCTGAAAACCAAAAACAACACTTACAGTATCAGAATCAGGATGTCAGACACACGTAATCTCCTCAATGCGTGGTGCTGATAAGACTGCTGTTCGCGAAGTTTTCGCACAGCTGGTCAACGCGCTCCACTCTGGACATGTGCGTTTCGACTTCCTGCTGGAGACCCTCCGGAGTTACGTCCTCGAAGCACAGCAGGAGGGTCCCGAACATGAGACCAGTGATCCACACCGTGGCGTAGAGGATAAACGGAGAGCGGTAGCCGCCATCACAGCCTGCTTCTCTCAACAAGAAACGCGACGATGCACACCCTCACGCACCAGCCCTGCAAGCCATGTAGATGCGCGGAGACATACCCACACAGCCCAAAAACCGTTTGTGAGGAGATGCTCTTTCACATGTAGAGAGATGCGTATGGCGTATGCAGATTCAGATCGTACCTGTGAACATGGACCATACTCAACGCGAGAAATATGCTCACATGCCGTACATGCATGCAAAGAGGTAACCGCTTCGAAGCATCAACACATTCTCACGTCTCTGAACAGTCAGAACCAATGAAAACGAATATATAGCCGGAGGTGAGAGTGAGAGGCGAGCGTAAGAGCGAGAGTGAGAGCGGAGCTTTGTGAGTATATCTCTGTATGTGTTGAGCCAGTTAAGCCCACACCCACGGCCAGATGAATGCATGCACATGCATAAATGACGTTGTACCTGCCTACTTGCCACAGTCCGACATATCGGGAGTGAAAACCGGATGCAGTAAACGTAGTGGGGGTGCGCAAGTGCAAAGGGGTCCGGCTGCTGGAAGAGAAACATGCTCGTACCACTCACTCATAAACACGATGACATGCAAGCGCAGGCGTTTGATATGCACAACTCGACTTCTTGCATGTACGGGTTACTGGCATCAGCATACATATGCCTGCTGCATACGCGTGTGCATCAATACTTGCATTTTGAACCGAAGGCATGCAAGCATTGGCATACTTGCCTGTTCATCCATTTGCACGAGTGCACAACTGGCATGCACCAAAGCGTGCACACAGCGACACATATGTGCACATGCGCATATACCTACAAGCTCCCGTAACACAGACATGACCGGGCAAGAGCGCAGATATACATGAGCTGATGGAAAACCAACCAAACAGCAAGTACAAGTAAGGTGCTCTTGCAAAACAACCGCACCGTCCTCCGAACCCCCCACGACCCCGGCGGCCTGCAATTTGGCTTGCCAAGCCAAGGGTCACGTCCTTTACAGTAGGGACACTTGTGTTCTCGGAGGGCCAAAGTGAGGTCAGGAGCTTACCACACCCGGGTGTTCAAAGGAGAGTCGTCATAGGGCGTCGGACCCGCCCAGTCGATGAGCATGGCCGCCAGCCACACCCTTAGCTTAAGGGTTTATTAGCTTTCTTTCCTCCCATGTTGAAGCGTTTAGAGCATGATGCTCACCGTTTAGGGCCTCGTGATAGTGAAAGCCGTCACTACTCACATCTGGTTTACTGCCGCTGCTGTTTCTGCTGCCAGCTACTTCTCCGCCTCCTCCTTGTATTTTGTTCCCTGTGCGGGTAATGGCCGAGAATGTTCTTAGACCCTGCACCCTGCCGTCGCTCTTGGTGAGAAGGCAGCTAAGTTGCAGGGCGCAGGAGACGCTCTGAATAAGAGGCAGCGGCTGCCCGGTGAGGAGGAGCCGCTCCACCAACCAACAGACCTCGAGTCTGTGTGCGTAGCTTAGACTTGGAAATTAAGGGCATTGAGGATTGGACGGATTGCCTGCAAGTGGTTGAGGGTTCAAGCTCGAACAATTCCCTTCTGGCCTTCGTTTGTGAGTGAATCAGAGTGCACAAGGGCATGTGAAAGCAAGGGTTCGTTCGAGAGGAAGAGCGTGAGCTGGCGAGTCAGAGAGACAGGCCTGCCTGTGTGCACACGTGTGTGCGTGCATGCATACTGCGTGTGCGTGCGCGTGTGAGGGTGCGGGTGCGGGTGCGGGTGCGCGGGTGCGGGTGTGGGTGTGGGTGCAGGTGCGGGTGTAGGTGTGGGTGTGGGTACGGGCTTATATAGGTATGGGTGTGGGTGTGGGGGTGGGTGTGGGTGGGTGTCATGGGGGCTGGGGGTGGGGGTGGGGTGTTTTATCTGTTTTCGTGTTCATGTAGATCCTGTTCAATGTTGACAATGGGAATACATTGTACTTACCAAGTCGCGAGAACCAGCAGATTCTGCACGAACGCAGCGGCTTTGCCCTCATCCTCCGCTGAAACCTTGAATAGGGAGTCATCATGTGTGAACAGCATAGAGTTCAAGCAGGTTTCCAAACCGAAGCTCTGCAAGTTGATATCTGAGCCTTCAATCTCTCCTTACTCATCACCCTACAGCAGGGAATCTGATCCAGGGCTGAGGGTTGGGGTGCCTGAGTTTGGTGCAGGCTCTGGGTCTGTTTTTGCAGAAACACCTCCATGGCACCAGCTGAACTCGCCACAAGCCTAGAGAGTTGTGCAGCTCGCATGCCTGAATGTACCACTTGCAACATGCCCTACCTGGAACTCCGACTTCAACCCCCAAAAAAACAAAGCTCCAAACCAACCTTTGACCGTCCCAGGTGCACCCATCAGGAAGGGCAACTCCCCCAACACCAGGCCGCAATAGAGCAGCAAAGCACCGAACGCGCCCTGCGTGCTCCTCGAACTATCTATGTTTCCAAAAGGATTTCTAGATGGGTACTATACGGTTCTATAGGGACTCTCTTCTAGCTGGGCTGCGACAACAGTGCTAGGTTCCTGTCCTACTTTGAACACCGGCGGAGGGTTGCTCTGGAACCACCACGGGGCACACTTAAAAACCTTAACTGTTACTCCCCACAGGAATTAACGGGCCATGGTACCGATTCTAAAATTAAAAGTAGGAAATGAAAAGCCACGACCGCCCCGACCAACCCCGTCTATACCTGGCCCAACAAGCCTGCAGGTATGTCTTTACCGCCTGCAACAGTCATCGTGCAAGCTTCAAGCGCCTATCGTGCCGGCACTACTACGAACCATCGCTTGTAGTAAAGGTGATAACAAGGCTTTAGAGGGCTTGCAGAAAATTCGACGAGGAAGAACTGCGCGGCCATGTAAAGCGAAAGGTGTGTGGTTTGACAAACATATCGCAGGTCGTAGACTGTTCGTAAACATAACAAAGTCAAGCCGCAACTAACAAGAGATCATGTCTGTGCCAGGGTCAAGGACGAAGGCCACGAGAGGCGCAAATGGTCGGAACGGACGGGGCAACGTGGACAAACCAAAAAAACAACTCGACGTCCAACCGCACCAGCCCCAAACAACATCCAGATCTCCACAGACAGTTGTCGACGCGGTTGCAGCCGCGAGGCGCACAAAAATCATCATCCACCTCTGCTGACGGGCTGAGGCAGCTTCTGACCAATACTCAAAATACTGAAACTCGACCTGGACAAGGCAAGTATTGGAAACGGGGTCAAAAACTCTCGATCTCTGTGTCTCATGTTGTTTCGCTGGACCTGGGCATCTCGTATCTGCCTTCAAAGGCCCAGCCACCATGCAGCCGTCCCCGTCATCATCGAATTCCTCGAATTCTTCGTCATGCCTCTTGGGCCGCGTTTGCCCTTAGCTGAGGAGAGAAGAACGTTGGGTTCTTTCCGTGTTACACGGAATCTGCGGGAGCAACAGAAACCGTACTGGTGAAAAAGAAGGCCACCACCGTCGTCATCGTCGTCGTCGCCGTTGCAAAACTTCGCCATAATGCTGCAGGTCGAGAAATGCAGGCCACAGCTCCGAATCACAACGTCCTCTCGAATCCAAGCAGCTCAGAAGAGAGAGCCCGCAGGCAGAGACCAGCCTTGGGCGAATCTAAGCTTTGGGACCTTTCGGGCTTCTGGGCGTTGAGCTCAGGCCCTACGGCCGCTTGAGGCTTGGAGCTACGGGTATCTTGGTGCAGCCTTTCCAAGCTGATGTTGCACAGAAGCAGGCAGCTAGGGCGGCTAGGAGTAACGTGATGCTGCAACAATACACGCAACTATGCCACAAACCCTGCATAGCATCAGCAACTTCTTTCCTGTCGAAGGGGCGCTGTCACCAGCGTAAAGGCTGGATATGTCATAGACCTGCTACCAGCGTGTGATAAGTGGCTGGATATAAGACTCACCCTTGGGCGACACCGCCTGGCCCAGGAAGCTGCAAGCCCCTTACCGGAGCCAAAAATGCTTGGGAACGATCCAGGGAGTCGCATGGCCGACGCTCACAGAGCGCCGCGGAGCTGCTTTCTGCAAACCGCTTTTGTGGCCCCTTTACAAACGTGAAATGAAGCTGAAAGAACACCTCGGGTGCTGCTGCAGGGTGCTGATAAGTGCGTCTCCGACGGGTGTTAGTGGAATGTCTTCAGCATGGCTCGGTTTGGCAACTCCTACTGCATGTCACATCAATCTAGAAGCATGCACACCTGTCGGACACCGGCACAACCCGTGCTGCTAGACTTTCCTGGTCAAAACTTGCACTACACTGCTCTCCTCTGCGATGTCTGACCCGGCTCTTCAAGGGGAGCGCGGCCGCCTCAAAGCGCTCTCCCGCAAGAATGCGGGCTGTTGCTGCCGCTTCCTGATCGGCTGGTCGCTGCTTCTTCCTCTGCTGCCGCGCTGCTGCCTGCAGTTGCCTTCTTCGTGCGGTTGCTTGGGAGGCTGTGCAGAAGTGGCAATGAGAACAGCTGTCGCCTTTGTAGCACCCAGCCGCTCTAAAGGCATGGGCCACGCAGGGATGGCATTGCCCGGCCTTATGAAGCCGAAGCTTCTCCGTGGCACTGGCAGTGAAAAACGGCGATCCTGTGCCCGCTGAGATGGGAGAGTCTGTGCTGCCTGTGCTGCCTGTGCACGGAGAGACCTGCCCTGGCTCGGATTTGAGACCCGGAGGGAAAGGACTCAGCGCCAAGGCCGTGTTCAGGGGCATGTACCTCTCTGAAGTCACTGGCGAACTGTACTGAGTCCGAAGACCTCCGCCAATCATTCTTGTTGCGTCACGGCCGGGCGCGGGGTTGAATTAAAAACCCTTGAGCCCCAGCCAAACGGACAACAGGCACAACGGCGTCCTGCCCATCATAATCATCACAAGGATACAAAGACTCTTGTGTGAGTGACTCTGAAACTAGCCGAAAGAGGTGTCACAGCATCCAGCATGCATTCACTGCCAAGCACATGGCTTCCTGAACGATCTGCCCAGCAAGCTGCTCTCAAGTCTCTCGGAAGCCCCCAAGACATGGATCCAATTGAGCTCAGGAGCAGTGAAACCGCCGAAGCAGCCACTGTTGCACCGCGTGGAATGCCGGGAAGGCCATACAAAGGCATTGGGGGGAGGGAAGGACAAAGGGAGTGTCTTGCATGGCCAAAGCAGTCTCTGGACCCGTGTTCCTGCTGTCATGTGCAAGGGCCTGCTGCTGAGGTGCAAGAGAACCTGGACGCGAAGGGTGTCAACTTCGTGTGTGCTTGGAACATTGACAAATATGGGCACGGCTACCTCTAACCTGAGGCAATGCACGGTTTTTTGGCCTGGGTTGCTGCTCGCTTGCTCTGCAAATATGCGTTGGGTTTTACTTCGTCTGACATCTTGGCTGTCGCGCAGTGATGCCCTCATCACTACTGCAGTCATGTTGCATTCCTTTGGGCCATGCGAAGCAGCGGCTGGAGACTGACTAACAGGCAACTCTAATTTTCAGTTTGAGGGCCTATGCCGCAGCATAGGCCGTCTCCGCTCCTCACCACGGAATCTCCTCAGCACGCCAGTCGAAGAAGCGGCCCGCGTGTTCCATTGTTCGAGAGGCAATGATGGCCAAGTGGTTCTCTGCCTGGCAGCACGACATTTCAGCGACATAATGCTGCATCTTGACAGTTGCTGGCAACTTCTCCACGTGTGGGAAGGGAATGTCGGTGCATGTCTGTGCCTGCGAGCGGGAACAGTGCGAGCCCCATGATGGTCGTCTACGGTCTGCCCCGCGGAGCGGCCTGCACCCAGAACCCTCATATCTAAGCTCGCGGCCGCTTCGTCCACGTCCTGCCTCGGCCGGTCCGTCGTAGTCGGGACTGTTGAACTACATCGAAGCCCCACGTTGCCCTGAATCTCCCTTGCGGACCAGAGGGCACCGTGTACTTCGACCGTGCCCGTGCAAAGGCGCGCGTCAGGTCCTCCGAATTGTGTCTTCGGATGTGTGGGCTTGAGTGGGGCCCCTGTGGCAAATCACTCGGCTTCCTAAAGCCGGCTGGAGACTTAAGGGCGGCTCCGTGTCGACGGTGCCCGGGTGCAAGGCGAAGCAGCAGACACGGTGTCGGGCGAGCTCTACAGAGGCCGTCCGCACCACCTCAGAGAATCCCAATTCTTGGCAGAAAGCCATGGGGCCTCCAACCTCAATAAGTCTCAAACCTGCAAGCTGATTATATACATATATATATATATATTTATTTATTTATTTATTTATATATTTATATTTATATTTATATATTTATATTTATATTTATATTTATATTTATATTTGTATTTGTATTTATATTTATATGTATTTATTTATTTATTTCTTTATCTATTTATTTATTTATTTTTATTTCTCTATTTATCTATTTATCTATTTATTCATGTTTTTACATATATACATATATACATCTATACATATTTATGTTTTTACATGTATACATATATACATCTATACATATATACATATACCTACAAATCTACATATCTCTATGTATATATGTATATATACATATATATGTATAGATGGATAGCTTTCCCTTTCGGCCTCATGAAAGCGTCACTGCTACGACGCTTCCCTTTTGCCTGGTTCAGGGCGGCCTTACTGCTGCGGTACGAGTACCATCCACCTGCCAAGCGGGTGGGGCACAGGGACAGAGTCCGTGCCGTGTCGAAGTTCCATGGTGGGTGTTTACAGTGGGGATCTTTGGGGGATGTTTTAGGATAGTTAAGGATATTCAGGGACGTTTAGGGTTCGAAATGTTTATAAGACCTGCCTGTGGCATTGTCGCCGATGGAGCCCACGCGAGCGCTGTAGAAGACCGCCGTCGACTTGGGCGCCTGGGGTGCCAAGGGGCCTTCCGTCTCCGAAGCCTTCAGGAGAGGCGCAAAGTGCTTCAGGACCATCAGGGGTCCCAGCACGTTCCTTGGCGGCTCGGGGCGGTTGGGGAAGATGCGAAACGCTTCCTGGGCCCTAAGCTCCCTGGGTTCCGAGGTGCACTGCAAAGGTGTAGCGGATCGCCTCGGGATCCAAGCGCTGCAGGCCGTTCTCTGGGATGACCCCACGAGACTTGTCCTGCCTCAGCTCTGGAGCAGTGCCAAAATATCAACAGTGTAAAGGACCCACGAAGCATGCAGCATGACCTATGATGTCTGCGGCGAGCCGCAGCAGCCCGGCAGTGTGGCACAGAAGCTCCAGCCTGGAAGACAGCAGTGCTATTGTTCATCTGTCTTCGGCAGTGCTTTGCCATCATCTTGCACGTTGAGGAGAAGAAAAGGTGCTGTCTCTTGCGTTGCAGAATGACACGCGGCCATGTCAGGTGGTTGGGGTCGCCAGACGCTCCATGAAACGCACCTAACCTCCAAAGCTTTAGAATCATCCCTCAACCTGAAGGGCAAAGAGCTGCCAAAGCACCCACCAGGCCGGCTTGGCGAAGCCAAGATGCCCTGAGCGCGTTCTGCTGCGTCCGCGACAGTGCGTGCGTCCTTGGCTTGCGAGGTTTCTGAGGTTTGAGAAGCAAGGGGTTCCGGGGGGTAGCACTGGTTTTTGTTCGATCCCAAGAGCACCCAGGAACCTTGCGAATTTACAGATGTAGCCGACAGACATCGCAACGAAGGGAAGATGACCTGCTGTGCTCCACATCAAAGCGCAGGCAAATCGAAAAGAATCAGTTTCAAGGCTTTAGCGCATTCTGGCTTGATGATTATCTCTCACACAAACACTCGGGCTGTCCCGGATCAGGACTAAATCATCGCTGCTCTGGTCTGAAGGACAGAAATCGCAGGACGCGGAAGTAAAGTAACGAAAACATGCGTAGCTTCCAGTGCCTTTAAAAGTCTCCTTGTCCAACCTCTACCTCCACCAACCGACACGGAATACCTGGTGTTGAGCCACTTGGACAGGAAGTGGCCACGTCGCTGGGGAAGGCAGGATGAAAGCAGTGTAGCATGTTTTCAATTGTCAGCGGGCTCCTGGGTGAGGAAAAATGTAGCTGGAGAACATACGTAAGACTGGGTTAGGGTGTAATGCAAGTGCATGTGGCGGTTAGGGTCTAAGTCCAGAGCCTATACAGAACATGCACGGTTTCATGGCCCGTGCTCCACCCGCAAGCACCGCTCCTCGACAGACACTTAGGCTTCCGGCAAACTTTCGTTTTCGATTCCCGGGTTCGCGTGTTTGACGAAAATCGAAGGGCCCCTCTCAGGCGTCGGTGTCGGCATTGCCAAGCAGTGGCTCCCTCAAGCCTTCAGAGTCCTCCTGCGACCAGGGCCCGAAACCGAATACGAGGAATAGAAACAGCATGGAGCACAGCACAGAACTATACAACGCAGACATGATGAGAACCTGCACCGAAGAAAAGGCAATGTAGCCATCCCGATGTGCCCCACACCCCAAACAGGCACGATTAAGATGAAAAAGATGTGCTGCTCGACTGGCACGAGTCACTGGCATCAAGCTCTACGACGATCATTTGTTCAAGAGGTGCGAACAGCAACGACCAGCACGGCCATGCACAGAGACCTCTACACAATGCATCACTTCCTCCATGCACCCCTGGCCAGAAGATCGACACGTGCACCGCTCGATATACATGCAAGGCTTTGGTGGGAAAGCCCCTCGGCGCTGAGGAAGCAGTAAGATCAGTAAGGCCTTCTCTCTTTCTTGCCAAACCCTCAGAGTCGCAACGTGAAAGGCGGCCTTGAGGACGAAGCTCTTGAGCTTCACCGAGAGGCTCGGGCCCAAAGCGACGAAGGCCACCCAGGCCGTGCAGCCGACCAGCCGGACAAAGAGGGGCAAGGCTCCGAGATCCTTTCAAGGCTTGAAGGGCTGTCTCTCCGCATCTCTGTCGACAAAAGGGCCTACTGAGTGCCTACTGGGCCTTACTAGGCACTGCTGGAATCGCCAGCAAGTGCAGCTTCAAATGAGCCTTCAAATCCCATAAAACCGTTACAACAAGTAGAACACTGACATGTGTGGAGCTGTGGCGGCTCTGCAGCTGATGTGCTGGAGTGGTTAACACAGTGGTCTGCGACCCGGCTCATGCCACAGGCCACGTCGACACCTCTTCTCAGCGTACATGCAGCGCGTCACATGTCGCGACGCTTCAGACCCCGAGACGAAGTGTCAAAGTGAGCCGCTTTGGCAAAGGAGCGCATGGCACTACGAGCTCCCAGTCCTTCGGATGCACGCCGTTGACGTAGGCATTCACTGCATCGGCCCAGGAGCGCCTCTTTTCAAGCGGCGGAAAGTAAGAGCTCTGGCTTTGTGGGCTCCGTTTGGAATTCCACGTAATTGCACCATAGGCCTCCTTCCTTTTTGAGTCAAGCTGCGGGTAGGTGAGATCTGAGAGGATCTCGGCAAGGAAGAAGACCAGGCTACTGGAGACCAGCAGGCCCCCGGCGGCGTAGCCCAACAACTAGCCAGGGAGACATGCCGATCCACACATCAGATGACTTCGAAGCAAAGCTGCATTTCAGAAAGTCGCCTCGCTCGCCCGCTTGCCCCCGTAGCCAGTGGCCGCCACTCCCAGGGCCAGGAAGAGGAGGTACCAGAATCTCGTAAACAAACGTGGTAAGCCATGAATGTTGTGACCGTGATCGGTGTCTGCCTAGACTTTTTTTCTCCCACCGAAATGCGGCTCAGGGACGGGACTTGAGCCGGAATCCAATCCTGCGCCCAGGAAGCAGAGAGCTGCGCGGCGAGGAGGCCCAGGACCGCGCCAAGGACCTGAGACAAAGCGCAAGTTTAGGGTTTAGGGGTTTAGGGTTTAGGGGTTTAGGGTTTAGGGTTTTAGGGTTTAGGCCGCAAAACGGCCGGAGTTTCGACTCTCACACTCGCACAAGGGTTTAGGGTTTTTTTCCCTCTCGCATTGATGAGATCTATGCCCACGGCGAGGTCTGCATGGTACTATAAAAGGCACGGTAATTCAGTCTGCAACTCAAAAATATGTCATGTTGCATCAGTTCACGGTCCGGACCGCCAAAATGGCAAGCTGCACATGTCCCATCCGCAGTCAAATCTCATTACGGGCTGCATGCACATCCGCCTCATTGTGTTCGCAGTTCACTCACGTTTCACTACACTCCGGTTTAGGGTTTAGGGTGTAGGGTAGAATTCGGAAATGCAGGGGGTCGGTTCATGGTCCTGTGTTACAGCCGGCCACTGTGGGTGCTCCAAAACCCCTTTCCTGAACCCGAACATCCTCCTCCTTTTTTCGGAGCCCGGGGGCCAGCTGAAAGCCAGTGTAGCCCACCACGGCCGCCGCAGCGGTGAGGATCGCAGCCTCAAGAAGTCTCTGGGAGCCGGGAGATTGTAATGAGCATCGAGCCATCATCGACACGTCAAGAACATCCTCACAGACGTCCCAGGCCGGACCCTGGAACCTGCCTGGACTTTTACCCTTTCCCTGGCCTCACCGCCCACAAGCACGGAAAGGAGCAGGGACTCGCCGCCTTTGCGGAAAGAAGAGTGGTGTTGGGGCTCTCACACTCGGACACTCCAGGGTTCAGGCTTTAGGGGATGAGGAAGAAGATAACAACAGAACCCGGCATTTAGGACAATCAGCAGCGTTTATCATCATCACGGCGACGCAGACGGTATGATGACGATGCCGACATCAGCTATTGCTATTCATGCCGACATGGCGGCAAGCGCAGAACTCCATAAGCGGATTGACACGAAATTGAAACACGCCTGAATCAATATGATAAAGAGTGTGCAGAAACAGCAACTTATACCAGCAGTGAAGGCATGCAGTACAAGATCAACTTCACATTGCAAACGTTGATAAACTGCAAACAACACGAGCTCAACAACAGGCGGCGGTGGCGGTGGCGGTGGCGGGGGCAAGAAGAAGAAGAGAGCAGCAGCAGAATGCGCTAGGAGGCCGCAGTGGTTTCAGGCAGTCGGCAAGCTTCTGCTTTAGACTTTAGACTCTAGAACTCGCGGCTTGGCAAACGGTCTGAAGCTCTAAGCTCCTGACGACGGGACGCGAAAACAAGGCCTTGTACCCGGTTGGGGTCTGCGGTGGGGGCCGTATTTTCTGATCCGAACACCTTGAAACAGGATCCTGACAGTGAATCTCCAATCGATTTCGAGGCACCCCAGCCCTCGAAGAACTTCTGTCCTTGGCTGATCATGGTGCCATATTAGCTGAAGGCTTCCAGTTGCAGGTCCAGGCTTTGAACGACTGCAGATTCGAAGGGCTGTGGTTGGTACTGAATTTTAGGCTCTCCCTCTCGTTCCTCCCTCCCTCCCTCCCTCCCTCCCTCTGTGACACGCCTGCTGCAGCTTACAAAAGCCACAAAGGATGAGTGAAAGAAGGGGACAACAGGATCAAGCCAGAAACCCAAAAACCGTTCTTAGTCATTGTGGAGAACAGATTACTGTCAAGCATGCAGAATAAGTAACTAAAACCCAGGGTCCACGGCAGCGTCGCCCCACCAATGCTCGGCCTACACACCCCCACGGCCCCGGCCCCGGCCCCGTCCACGCCAACGTCGTCCCGTGAGGGCTCGCAGCGTCGTTCCCCGAAAGCTCGGCGCCGACGGCCTCCGAACCGCCGCGTCCACAGCACATTCCGCAAACGCTCCGCCGCTTCGCCCAGCCGCCCGAGCGGCAGCGTCCCACGGACCACTCCGCACAGCATCATCGTCTTATCGTCTCGTGAACTTGCCCGGAGCCCACAGCTCTGCAGCTGTCCCTCCAACCCCCCGTCTCCGTCCACGGGCAGCCTTGTCCCGTGAACGATGCTCGGCGCCCGACAGCTTTCCAGTGTCCCCGTCCACAGCATGCCCACAGCTACCCAACACGCCTAGAAGCGTCATCTCACGAAGGCCCGGCACCCACGCTCCCCAGCCGTCCCCGTCCACACGGCAGCGTCGTCCCGCGAACCCGGGCGCACACAGCTCCACACAGTAGTCTCCGTCCACGGCAGCGTCCAGACGATGCGGTGGACGCTTCCTCTTCGCTATCTATATATATATATATATATATATATATATGCTAGAGGGGCTTTCATAGCTTTCCCATCCACGGAAAGGTTCTTTGGTGAACGCTGCCCTGCGAAAAGCAAAAGATACACAAGAACCCAACCCCCGATGGGACTTTCAGAAGAAACAGCAACAACATGTTCAGCAACAACTGCTTGCACCATGGCTCCGGCCGTCATGCCAACCCCCAGAGCCACGAGCACTAGGCTGGCCGCCAGGATGAAAAGTTCACTATCCAAGCAGCTCCTGTAGCTTTCCATGGAAGCAACGCTGAGGGGAAAGATATTTCTGTCTCCCGCCTCCCGCCTGGCTAGGACGAACCTACGATGCAAGGATTATGGTTTAGGGTTTTGGGTTTTGGTATAGTTGGTCGAATCCACGCCGGTCTAGTAACTAGGTAAAGGGTACCGAGGTTGAGAAGTGCTGGGCTTGTGGCCTGGAGGCCCCATCTGCAGAATGTTGCGTGTTCTTTGTGAGTCCTAGAGCTCACGGGGCTTGGGTTTAGGCTGCATGGTAAAGCTTACATCCACACAAGAAGATGCTCTCCAAGGCGCACGGCACCCAACAAGGCCGCGAGGAGGGCCACGAGGTTTTGGCAAGGAAGGCCTTTGAGCCAGTTGAGGAAGAGGCCGATGCCGCTCTGCACCCAGGCCTCGCGGAGAGGGAGGTGACTGAGGACTCAGTGGCATTATGATGAGCTTCCGTAGCAGGCTGCTTTTGCTGGGGTTCGGCGAGTCTGGCGCCTAGGGATGCGGAGTTTGGTTGCCCAGCCTGGCGTTCCGGCAGCACTTCGTCGGCTTTGCTTTTCAGAGCGCTGGCCTCCTCCTCGGCCTGTTCCTCCAAGGCTTGTGCCTTGCGCACTCGGCGCTCCAGCTTCCTCTGCCGCTCCTCCGACTCCGCCATCTGGGTTTTGGTATCATTCAGCCGTCGTTGCAGGTCTTTGGTATGCTCCTGCGATTCAGCTATAGAGCGCTTGGCTGCGGCATATCTGAGCTTGCAGTCTTCTGACGTCTGCTGGCTCTGGTTTAGCAGTTGTGCCTGGGCTGAATGGTTTCGGATTGCGTTTTCAATCACGAAGTCCGCGACCATGATCCGCTGCATCTGGTGGTGAATCTCTTTCTGCAGCTCATGGACAGACTGATGCGAACCCGAGCCACCGGCGCCGGCTCCTGTTGCGAGCACTGCCACAGCTAGCCATACCATCATCTGCCCGACGGCCCACGGGGCCAACCCTCTTGAACACCGCACTGCGAGGAGGGATATGGAGATACAGGCAAGACACGCATGAAACGAATGGAAGCCCCAACCCCTGCCAAAGCCGGGGCTCGGTCACGTCCATCTGGAGCACGGTGACAGAATGCGGAAACATCCTTGAAGGAGGGAGCGAGCTAATAGGGATCTTTCTATACAGTGCTGGGTCACCAGCGGACAGTCAGTCCAGGTCTAGGGATATCAAGCTGAGCATGGCTCAGCACATTGGGGGATTCTATGGCGGAAAGTGCCTTCACACGATTTTACACGTGCCTGGCGCCACGTGAGTGTTCATGAGGCTGTACAAAGATCACAGGAGGATTCCGTTCAGCACCGACACATGACCCCATACCTCGGACTCCGACCTCGATGCTCCCATGCCTGCCACCTTAGAGAATCTTGGAGGCCCTGAGCTACTGGAAACCTGGGCCTTTGCCTGGCGCCTGATGTGTGGGTTTCCGAAAATAGGGGACCCTAATATAGTACCCTAAATAGTAGGGGTCTTTATTATAAGGACCCCAAAGTAAGGTTCCCTAATTTTCTCAAACTCCCATGTGTGTGTGTGTGTGTGTGTCCTTGAACCGAGCCCCAAGACGTGAAACCCCGCAGAGCTGAGCCTCTCCAGCTCTGCAAGGGCCGCCGTCGGCGTGCGCGCAGCACAAAGCACGGCATCGCCGCGGCGAGCCTTAAAGGGGCAGTGATAGTAGCATCCGAAGATCTGTGACGAGTGACGCTGGTCGCTACTACTACTGCCAGGACGGCCTGGAGGACGAGACGACGACGACAAGGGCAACTTGCTGCAAAAACCTTCGCACTGCAGCTGATGGCAGCCTCTTGCGGAAAAAAACAACCCTTAAACGCCCTGAAAGGCCCCGCTTCCTGGGCTCCCCAACCAGGTGCCGCGCAAGAGCCAGGCCCAGCCCACGAGAGGCGCCCACCACGCAGGCCCGGCGCATGCTGAAGAAAAAAAGCCGTTTTCTTTGGTGCTTCGACGCTTTGAGGTGGGCAAGTTCCTTGGGCAATGTGGCCAAGATGTGCCAACGAAGGCATCATATTTTCTTACCTGTAGGTGCTGTTGTTGTGATTCTTGCTACCACCATGGGCCATCGGCTCTTGTAGCTGCCGCATTCTCGCTACTGCTGCTCGCTGCTACTGCCACCATTCTCGCAGGCATTGCTAATACTGCTATACCTGCCGCGGTGTCTCTGCTGCGAGTTGCTGCTAGCAATTCGCATACGCTGCTTGTTGCTGTTGTCGGCATGTTGTCGCTGGCAACCGGCTGCATGCAATTTTCCATCCTGAGCAGTACGATTGGTGCGACCAGCGGAAAGGACGATCATGCCGATTAACTTGTCTAGGGTGCATTTTGTGGTTGTCAGCAGCATTCGTAAGATTCTTGTGGGTTTCGTGAGGCGCGACGAGATGACTTCGGGGTGCGCAGAGATGGCTGCGGATGCTGTGCCTCCAAGGCCTCAAGTTTCAGGAGATGCTCAAAGCCTTAACCCCCGAAGGGAAATCAAATAAGGCAGTTCACATCACCATACCGCTATGCAGACGTTAAGCTCTATGAGCCGTTAAGCCGCATCCGGCTTCAAAAAGCAGTTGTCGAGCGATGAAAGTCTCCGTGTTGCAATACAGACAGCGCCCCGGACATCCCAAGACTCTGGTATCACAAGGCGTGCAGTAGGGCTTGCACTCAACCTTGTCGACTGCGGGGATGATGACTATCTTGGCACGCACCTGGAATGCCACGCTGGCAACGGCCACAAGCTGCAACTGGGCTGCGACTGAAGTCTTCAGCCAACCACATGCAGACAGATCAGCGTCTGCAGAAGACTTCAGACTTCCACTCGTCTCCAACACCTAACCACGACGCGGCCTGGGCTACATGATCTTCGGCATGCTTGTCGGCACGCTCCTTCAGCCTCTGGATTGCTGCCTCGGGACGGTCGCCGGGAAACTGACCCGAGAATCTCAGCGTTCTTGGTTGACACTAAACAAAGGCGTCATGCTGCACACTGCAGGGACATGCAGCTGAACTCTTGGGACAGAGAGTCCGTGACTTCAAAGCACGACCCCCTGAAGCCAACCTCCACGGCTGCATCGACCTGCTGAATCTGCTCGTCCCCGCAGATGTAGGGCGCAATGCCATCCTCGTGTGCATTCAAGTCGGGCGGGCGAGCGAGACTGCTGACCTTCTCTTGAATTCCACGGCACCTTGCCTGCGGAGCTCCCAATACGCTTCGGCGGCTCAGATCACTCCAGCATGGGTCTGTTCGTGAAGGCTTCTATGAGGTCGAATCTCGAATGCACGAACTTCCCTGGGGCGCCAGCCGGTTGATGGGCCATTCGAAGCAGCCACCAGAGGTCCTTCTCCATGTCCTGCCAGACTTCGGGTTTGAAGGGTTTGGGGTGTAGGGCGATACACGAGATCTGGTCGAAATAACTGGCCAAGAAATACCAACACCAGATCCTCTGTACCATAGAGATGTGCAGGAACCTGAGAGGGCAAATCGGATGCCTTGCACCCAATGGTCTCCTTTTCGCCATCGTTCGGCATGCTACGCCGCTAAGCAGGCGCCCGACATCTACGAGGGTCTCAGACAGGGAGGCTGTGGCTAAACAACTTCCCAGACCCGAGAAGTATGAGATGGTATAAATAGCATCAACCCTAGGGTTGGCATGAAAAATACCGCAGGGCTGCGCATTTTGGGACAGTGATAGCATAGGACCTCCTGGGATCTACCACGGGAAGTTAAGGTGAAGGGACCGATTTGAGGCGGATGTGACAGGCCATTGTGCCGGAAAGGGTAAACCCAGTAAACGGCCTCCATGAAGAAGGCGATCTCCTCCAGAAAGAGTCCGACCTCTAGCCAAAGCCCGACAATTCAACGAACGAAGTCACCGGAATCTAAACACATCTGAAGACCATAACCTGATTCCTCGCAGGCACGTGACTGACACTTTTCGGGCACAAGCTTGTAGCCTTGTGGCATTTACCAAATCTGATCTACAGCCTCCACTGCTCGCATGTCAATGCGCAAGGTAGCGTCCCATACTGCAACGGTCAACTACGAGTACAGTCTGGATTTAAACGACCCATTTCTTAGATGCTCCGATTGGCGTGCCTGGTCCGACGTCCTACGTCCGGTTCAGCCCTTCCTCGGAAGCCCCTGAACCCTCTCAGGTCGCTGGGCTCCATGCAGTGACCTCCTTGATTACCGGCCTCGGACCCCATGTTCTCAGGGTGCTCCGTAGAGCTCGGGACCACTCAGACCACTGGACTTTCCAAGGCGATATCCCGCAGACAATGCCTGTATCCGACCTGGTGCTTTCTGAGCATCAACTGCGGATCCCTCATTCACCGGCACGTGCCATGATTGCACCCATGCCCCAGATCCCTGCCCTTTGGATGACTTGCGATGTTCGTCGCTCTATCCATATGTTCGCGCTTCTGCCAAGGAAATCAATAAGTAAGAAGTACCCGCTGCCTTTGACAGTTCGGCAAAACCTTCTTAGATCATAGTTCACATCGATGTAGACAGGTCGACGAAGACCCGGGCGACAAAAAAGGCCTTTTGAAGCCTACTACGAGCACACACAGAGTATTTTGGGCAAAAAAAAAATGTGTTGAGCTGAAATAAAGTACTTGAAAACTCCAACACATCAGTGGTGTCTGCATGGAAGCCAGGGAGAGTAGAGAGGGCACTCCTCGATGCCAAGGAGCCAAAAACCATGACGAATTAAGACTGAAACACCACGCAACCTTCCCCGCCTTCAAACAAGCTGAACTCAAGACTACTTACCTCTCTCACTATGTCTCTATGGATATATATATATATATATATATATTATATATATATATATATACTATATATACTATATATATATATAATATTATATATATATATATATATATAATATATATATATATTATATATATTTATATATAGAGAAAGAGAGAGAGCCAAGCAGTTTGAGACTCTCAGTACCCCAAACTATGCCAAAGCCTCCGATCCCCATTCTGCTGTGAGGCCCGAGCTTCTCACCGACCTCTCGTGCTCTCTCTCGCAGGATAGCGATCAGGGCGGTAGAAGTTCAGGGTTTCGGGTTTAACGTTCAGGGCTGAGCGCTTTGGATTTAGAGGATTGGGGTTTCGGCTCTCACACTCACTCAAGGCGCAAGGTTCCACAGGATTCAAGCTGACGTCCACAATGACTGAGACCATGCACAAGAGACAACTGCTGAGCCTATGCACCTGGGGGTTGGTTTAGGACTTTGGGTTTTCCGGTTTCGGGCTTGTTTCGTCTCCTGCGCTGCTGAACAGTCGCTAGGCAGGCGTCCTGCATAGGCTGAAAGGCAAATTATCGTGCGGGTTTCGGGTTTAGGGAGTCCCGGGGTGTTAACTCCAGCAGAGCTTGCGGCATCTGACCACACACACACACACAGCGTGCCAACTCGCAGGAGTGACGACATAACTCAAGTCACACAAGATGTCGTACAGGAGGGCCGAACTCGGAGGCAGAGGAGCACTGGTACTCTACCACGCGCTACAACCGACACAAAAACATCCCAAACATTGCGCAGCGAACTGAAGACAATGATACTTGAGACCTGCAAGCCTGGAGGCCTCGAAGAAGCCAGACTAATCCCTCATTCTCTCAGCTGGGCCATGGCTGGCTTCTCGCTCTTGACTTGGCGTGGTTCAAGGTTTCAGAGTTGAAACTGACTACGAGTACACTGTTTTGGGGGGTTCCTTATTATAGTTATAGTATAGTATACCCCAAAACCCAATTCTTATTGTGTTGCTTCGAAAGTCGGGCAGCTGCATGGGAAGCGAACGTGTGTCTTCTCTGCGGCAAGGTGCTACTAGTACCACATGTAACCCTCAACTTGAAGCCCTGCTGCAAGAACCCACAGAAGGCACCTTCCAAGTACAAGGTCGCCTTTGACTCCGCGATCTGCGATGTTCGATGAGGGCGCATTGTCTCTCTGCGCGCGGGGGCAAGTGAATGTGAGCTGCTGCAAGCCGTGGAAAGCCAGTTTCACGAGCTTCCAACACCGCCTTGGAGGCTCCGCTGAAGAACAGCTCTTGTGGAGACCACTTGCGCTTTCTGCAGATATCGGATCAGCACATCCGGCTTTCCAAAGGATCGGACAAGTTCCACCAGTTTGTGAAAGGACCCCTGGTCATGATAATGGCTGCAGCTGGGACTCAAGACGTCCACCGTGTGTGTCGGGTCACTCCTATATCGCTCCCGCAACATCGCGTGTGCGTGCCTACATGGGCCCACATGTTCACATTCCTTGTCGACTCGTTTGCACAGTGCATCTCGGAACGGGCCACAAGACATCCGTTTCCGAACTGCTCTCAGAGGCCGTGCTGTTCAGACTGAACACAGGCATCGTCGCCGGGCACTTGCTTTGGCTGCGGCAGGAAGTCCTCCGGCCGCACCGTCCAGCGCGGGCGCGGTCGAGCGCTGTGCCCCGGCACCTCGTCCCTCGCGGCGACTGCAGCTTTCTCTTGCTTCTTCCACTTCAGGGAGAGGCGGCGCATCTGCAACCATGTGAGGAGAGAAACCAGCCCAATAGCTGGGGAGATCAAGGCCTGGATGACACCTGGGAGGGACATGTGGATAGGGCCGACTCCCTGGAACATGACTGAACCCGTCATCGAATCGTACTTATCTCGCATGTCCAGGTTTAGCAGAAAGCCAAGCGCGATGGTGTAAAGCAGCGGTAGCCAGAAGCGCGACCACTTATCAACAGCCTCGGACCACTCCAGCCAATAGGTGTGAGAGCGCTTCGCGTAGTGGTTCTTTGAGCAGCTGTAGTTCTCTGCGCCCAGCTTGACCTCCTGGAAGGGAGTGGTCCAAATCAGCTCCAGGCAGATCTCCAAGAAGTCGCTACAGTCGAAGAGAACCTTGGGACTCCAACCCGTCGTCAAAATCTCCTCGAGCAGGCTGCGCGAGAGCCCGAGGTTGACGAAGCTCAACATGCAGGCAGCTTCCTGCATTGTGATCAAGCCCTTGGAGTCGGAGTCTATCAAGTAGAAGAGGTTCTCGAAGAAAATCAACTTTGCAGTGTCCGTCTCGGACAGCTTCCCCTGAAGAACCATCTGAAGTCGGCCACCCTTGCTGGCGCTTTCGTCCAAGAGGCTGGAATGCTCGCGGTTGAGCTGGCGGTAGATTCGCCCCGCGTTCGAGAGCGTCGCCGTGTTTCCCTTGGGCCGGCAGAGACACCATGGGGCGAGCCAAGCGAGCCAGGAGGGGAGCAAGTGATCATCCATATGATAGGCGAAGAAAAGCACGGCCATCGTTTCGATCAGACTCAAGCAACAGAACGTCGTGTTTATCAGCATGAAGAGATCGATCCAAAGCAGCTCACCGCAGACAGGAACGAACTTCGCAACAGTTCCTTTGATGACCCCTACGAGGAGGAGCACGGTGATCCCGAAAGACAGGCGCTCGCCGACCTCGTGCGACATGAAGAACACGCCAAAGGAGAGGTACGTGGTGAGTGCCGTCGGAAAGATGATCAGCAGCAAATAGTAAAAACTTGCTCGGCCCAGTGTGACGCTGTACTTCACCAGCGTCCATGGTTCGCCAGGGCTGTTTGCATAGAAGTTGGTCCTCGTCTCGACCTCTATCGCCTCGATACTGTATTCCTGGTATGAAGACCCAGCCGTGTCCTCTGTGCTGGATTCGTAGCCTTGGCCCATGAGCTCGATTCCCTGGAAGCTGCCAGAAAAAGTCCAACCAGCCCAGTACATTGAACACTTCAGACGGTCGAAAGGAAAGGCGACTAGGCCGGAGAACTTACAAAGCGTGTCTAGCAACCCTGGCCGGCTCCAGAAGACGTTTCCAGCACTGCCCACAACGGCATTCGTGGTGTCGAGCGAGAGCTCGGTCCCAACGTTCGCATTCCAGAGCTGAATGTCAGGCAGCCAGATCTCTGAGTTCTCCCTGTCAGTGTTGTGCCGGCTCAAGAAATGAACCTGGCTTATGTTGCCATACTCTGCGGGGTTCCAGCTCAGGCGCTGATCAATCCAGCCCATCCGAACCCAGACCTTGAGGCGCATTTGCCCAGTCGAGTCATCGAGGCCTTGTGCCTTGAAGAAGTTGATTTGCATCTCAACCTCCGTCCCAGCACCGCTGTAGTGCGCGAGGCGATCGCTTTCTGGCGGCACAACCTTGTCATAGTCCTTCAGCAGGTCCCGGCGCAAACGCGAGGCCTCCCGGACGAAGGGCTTTGTGAAGGTAGCATCCCACGCCTGCAGCGTCCGGGAGGGCAAGACAATCAGAAACGAAAGCCGGAGCCCAGGTACCATGTCTTCAACGCTCGGCTCTAAGGAGATGCATCTTGAGCCACATTCTGTTTGAGTTTGGGAGCCTTTCATCGCTTCCCTGCCGATGTCTGTGGAGGCAACACCTCCGGTTTCCCACTTTTCCGGCAAAGCAACTCGACGACTTGAAACCTCAACCTGTGAGTTGCAGACGTGTGCTCACGAAGCACCATCCCTATTCTAATATACGAGTATAGCATAGACTACTATATCTCTGCATTAATTAGGCTAGTCGCCTGTTTTGATGTTCATACACCATGTTGTTCTGCTGCTTCTGCACGGCGCATCAACACGCTTGGCAGTCACTCCGTGCTCCCTTCGAGCCTCCGGTGTCTCGTCTGCCTTCTGGACCTCAGCCACCTTCCCCATGGCACTGGGGTCGAACCTGGCGTGATGGGACGCTTAGGACAGGCCGTGCAAGCTCCGGGCAGCCGAGGAATTCTGAAGCACGGCCCTTCCCGAGTAGCTATTACAGCTATAACAAGTGGAGGTCCATTCCAGGGGCTCCTTGTGCAAGAAGACTTTGGGGCTTCTGAGAGTCTTGGGCCGGGAGGAAGGGGTAGATGTTCTAGTTCTTACCGGTCCGAGATCGCGGCTCTGGCGCATTGGCGTTCAAGCCGTTGCTCCTCGGCTCGCAGCGTCAGCAGCGTTAGCAGCGTTAGCTTGGAGGAAGCGTCGTTCCAATTGTTGACCCTTTTTTAAGGGCAAAATTGGAGCTTTGATGGGCATGGCGAGGCATGGGATGGGGCGATTCAAAGGCCCTGGGTGGTACCTTCGAAGAACGCTTACAGCAACAAACAAAAATAATGCCCGAACCGAAGGGGCCTAGAGGAGACGTGTAATGTGTGCTGCAGACAAACCTTGTCACGGTATCATCTCACGCCCTTGAGGCGTTTTGTGTGTGCCATCGGGCCGAGGCCCTTGCGGTGCTGTCTGGCCCTGGCCAAGCCCCGGGTACGTCTGCGCCATCTGTGACTGCCTTCGAAGGTTCTGGAACATCAATCTACTTGGAGGTTCATGGGTAG